AAGAATTTAATAAAAAAAGTTTAATTTCATTACACATATTATACATGTACTAAATTATCATAACATAGCCCATAGAGACATACAAATACTGTGTCAATAATTTTAGTATATGTGCTGTTAAAACAAGCACTTATGCCTCAAGTAACAATTCAATTAAAAATAGGAATTTTTGATAGCAGCCATTCTTTCTGGGGTGAAGTGCAATCTCAGCATTGTTTTCATTTGCATCTCTTGAACAACCAGTGATGTTGAACCTTTTTTCATACTTTTATTTGCTGTTTCAACTTCTTTGTCTGAGAAGTGTCTGTTTATTTCAGATGCCCATTTTTGCATTGGGTCTTTAAATTTGGGAAGTCTGATTTTTTAAGTTTTTTATAGAAATATGGCTAGTTTTCTTCAAGTAAAAAGCTCCTGGGAGAGGTACATAGACAAAGAGGTTCATATCGGTTAGGAATAAATTGTAGCAACATATTTCTGGATGTCTCTGGGTCTTTAATGTCTCTGAGTAAAACAATACACTTGAAATGTTGAAGACACTCTGCTCTGCAGAAAGGAAAGTTATGAAAATCATAAGTTACCAGTTATGGGAAAATATTAAAAATTAATTCAAAATATTTGTAGGCAATAATTATATACATACTATTGTGTTACCAAACTGAATATTCTCCTAACAGGTTGGGTTCCTCTGTCACTTTTTGAAGTTACAGAATTTTGAGGGCTTAATCTCTGTTTCTAACATACAGTAACATAAGAATTCCATCCACATTCTTAAATTTTATATTCAATTTTTGTCTCCTGAATTACCTTGATTTTCTCATCTTAGGGCTTTGAACTGTGATGCATCAAGGTCGGAAATCCATTCTCTTGAATTATATCAATATGTAGTACAATAGAAGCTGTAGTTGAAATAGTTAACCTGATCAGAAATTGTCTTTGTTGCTTTTTAGAAGAGCATCTTGATTTATTTGAAAAGTTTATTTAGAGCTTCTTTCACATCCTTATTCCTCAGACTGTAGATCAAAGGATTCAACATGGGGAACAGCACGGTATAAAAGGTGGAAACTATTTTGTCCCTCTCAAGGGAGTAGCTGGAACTGGGGCGAGAGTAGATGTAGAGGATGGAGCCATAGTACAGGGTGACAGAGATGAGGTGGGAGGAGCATGTGGAGAAGGCCTTGCGGCGGCCCTGGGTGGAGCGGATCCTCAGGATGGCAGCGATGATGAAGAGGTAGGAGGCCAGGATGAGGGCAAGGGGGGTGATGACATTGGAGGTCAGGAGGAAGAACATCAGAGCCTGGGTGCCCTCGTTCCTGCCACAGGCCAACTTCACTAGGGGAAGCAAGTCACAAAAAAAGTCATCAATGACATTGTCATTGCAGAAGTCAAAGGAAAAGGTCTTCTTGGTGATGATGGAAGAGTTAGTAAAGCCTCCGAGATAACAGGCTGCTATCAAAAACACACATAGCTTCATGGGCATGGCCTGGGCATACAGCAGGGGCTTTGAGATGGCCATGTAGCGGTCGTAGGCCATGGTGGCCAGAAGGTAGCACTCACTGTAGTCTAACCCAGCGGAGAAGAAGAACTGGGCCACACAGCCTGCAAAGGAGATGCTTTTGTCTTCAGAGATGCAGGTCACTAGGATCTTCGGGGTGTAGACTGAGGACAGCCATAGGTCCAGGAAAGACAGATTTCCAATAAAGAAGTACATGGGTGTGTGCAGCCGGACATCATTGCAGATCAGCATGATGAGGATGTTGTTTCCTAGCAAGGTTGCAGAGTATACTCCAAGGAAGAGGACGAACAGCACCTGCTGCATCACTGGGTCTGCTGTGAAGCCTAGCAGGATGAACTCGGTCACCGTGTGATTGCCCCTCTCCATGGCTCTGGGTATCTCACTGTACAGAAGAGAAAATGTGAGATCTTTGAATCACTGTGCTGATAAAAATAGTAAAACATGCTCATGTGTTTCAGAATATTCCTGGTAATCATAAGAAGTCTTGGATCCAACAGTCTTTGTGCTCATTTAGAAAGAATTTTTATTTTGCAGCCAAATAAAGAAAAATTGCAGGGAATATTGTAATTATTTGTACTGTAGCCTCACTCAGGATGTAGGAAAGTAGTTCATATTCAACTCAATATAAGTGTTCATCAACAAAAGAGTTAATAAAAAGAGTCACTTATGGGTAAAATACAGACAATATAAGATTGTTCTACTGTCACTTTATTCTAATTCTCCTCCACTAAAAGTTCAATGTCTTCCAATGGATAAATTAAAAATAAGTGTAAGTCATTTTCTGGTTTGATCCATCTGCAACATCTGTCATAGTTCATCACTCTCTCCTGCTGGAAATACTCTTTTTGCTTGGGTTTCCGTTCACCACTCTTGCCTATTATTTCTTCTATTTCTCTGGTTACCTATTCTCTCTTATGCTAGCTTTTGAATTTTGGGATGCCTCTGGAATCCACTAGTGGACCTCTTGCCATTTCTGTCTATAATCGTTCCCGGAGATTTTAAACATCCTCTCTAGGTGAATCACTGCCAGTGTGGCTTCTCTTTTCCTGTCTACTCCATGGACTCTGGATACATAGGTCCCATGTCTATTGGATAATTCTTACACAGTATCCACTGGGCGTATCAGGAGAAAATGTATTCCCAGTTAACCTTCCTACATCTCCTTTACTTTTGGTCTTCCTTACTGCAAGAAATGGAATTTTTCCAGCTTAGAAGTGATTTAGTGTCATGCTCAGCTGTTTTCTAGCTCTCACATAGTCTCTGATTATTTAGCAACATCATGTAGACATTACCTTCAAAATCTTTCCAACCCCTGGCCATTTCTTTCCCAACTGCAATGTTTCCACCTTACACAAAGCCACGAGTTCTCCCTTTGCATCATTGCCGGAGCTTCCTAGCTGTCTCCTTGCCTTCATGCTCACCTCATTTGAGTGTCTCAACTTGGCATTCAGTCTTCCTCTTAAAATGTTCTGACCACTCCAGTGACTTCGCAACTCATTCAGGAGAAGCCAGCATCCTCATAAAGATGTCCAAGCACTCTGTGATATGCATTTAGTGTCTCCTGCTTCCAGCTCGCCCTGTCTCCCTCCACTGTCCTTTCCAGTCCAACCTTCCACCCTCCTTTCTGCTCCTCGAGTAATGAGGGCATCTTCAGTTCCTTCCCAGCTACTCCTCACTGTGTGTGGAAAGCTCCTCCCATGTATTTTCATAATTAGAAGTTTTATTGTCTCAGTCTGAACTCTTTGGAATATAACCTTTAAAGGTGTTTCTGTAACACTTCATTGTAACCTCCCTCCCTGACCCTCTTTTTCCCCTTTCCTGCATTAGTATCATGTCCTGCACTGATCCTCATGTTACATATATAAGTTAACGTCTTAATTCTTTACTAGAAAGTATTTTGGATCATCTGCTTTTGAGGAAACACATAGGTCAGTTTAATGTTTATCTCATTTTGTTTTGTCATACTGTTTTGTCATAATATCATAAAGTCATATTGGTTTTTAAATTTTAAATCAATTAATTCTAAATATGAAAAATTGCATGGCAACACTAAAATCCCTGAAAACATGAATTCATGAAAACTGAGAGGCTTTGCTGGGAAAACTTGAAATTTCTGGATTGTCTCTGAAACTGAATATCATCTGATTCTATTATGGTTTGCGTCTCATTATGATCTTCAAATTTTATCACTTACAGAAATAATAGCTAAAATTTTTGAGCAGTTCACTCTGAACCAAATACTGTGTTTAGTATTTCACTTGCAGCATTTTGTTTATCCCTCACAACACCCATCGTATATATGTTCAAATATTAATGGCAATAATTTTACCCATGACCAAACTGAGATGTAGTAAGTTTTTAAAAATTGCCCAAATACAGACTGGTGCAATCACTGTGGAAATCAGTATGGAGATACCTCAAAGAACTAGGGCTAGAGGTCCCATTTGATCCAGGTATTCCCCTGCTGGGTATCTTCCCGGGAGAATTAAAAGAATCATATCACAGCAATATATGTGCACCCATGTTTATAGTGGCACAGTTTGTAATAGCTAAAGCTTGGAAACAGCCCAAGTGTCCATAAACTGGAAACTGGATAAAGAAGATGTGGTTCTTTTATAAAATGGAGTACTAGTCAGCCATAAAGAAGGAGAAACTAGAGACATTTATAGCTAAATGTATGCATATTAAGGCCATCCTCTTAAGTGAAATAAATAGGACACACATGTGTAAATACTGAATAGTTTCTCTAGTGTGAGAAACTGAAAGTGTAAATAAGGATTAAAATGATTAAAATGAATAATTGATAATTTGAAATAGGAAGAAAAGGTCCAGAGGGGTAGGGGTGGTGGGAGGGGAAGGGGAAAGGAAAGAAGGGAAAGGAAAAATTATGAGAAAAGAAAAAAAATGGAAACAAAATCTGTGTAAATAGGGAAGGATGGAGGTGGTGAAGGACACACAGGTAATGGGGAAAAAAAATAAGAGCCAAGATACATCATGTACAGGTGCAAACACCCAATGATAAATGTAAACACATTGTATACCTAAAATGTACCAATAAAAGAATTTAAGCAAAATAATTGCACAAATAATAGGATTGCTTTCTCTGAAGATCTGACACTTAACCTTGAGTAAGCCCCTCCTTTCTTTTTGATATCATATTAGCAGTGCTAGTGGGCTCCATGGGATTCTGTCATTTAAGTTTTGATACTATAACCTTCAGGATAACCTTGAGAGATTCACAAGTCATCACAAGTGAGTGTACCTTACATAGACAGAGTCAATAAAAGGCACCACCATTGTCCAAATCAAATCCTGGCACCTCCTTGTGTCACTTGGTCTTTGGGTCAAACCTGATTATGAATCCAAAAACATTCCATGTCCCACCCAGGCCCAGAACACTTACCTGCAAGTATCACTGTCTCAAACAACAGAGGATTTCACCATGGATCCAGGTGACTTATTCCTGCTCTGAATCCCCAGTGGTTGATTCCTCAAGCACCCCCAGGGCTTATAATTTTAAAAGTCTCTGCGAAGGCAATTAATGAAAAAGTATATTGATTGTCTTTTGCTTTTTCAATGGAAAATGAGAAAATGATGATTATAATAACTCTGAACTGGGTACCTTCTCTTTAAATTCCTATCAGAGAAGCTCTAAGTTCTTAAACAATAAATAAATGGACATTGTTAAACAAGTCTTTCAATTAGGTGCTTCATATCACACTGTAATCAAATAAAATAGATACAGAATGTGAGAAAATCATGTTCAGATTGAGTCCAAGGGAAACTCATTACAAAATTCTCAGTTGTTTCCCTACACTAAGGGCACATTAGAGAGAAAATTGAGAGGGAATATTCTTGAGTATCTATTCATCAGCAAAGAAATCACTTTAGAGATAAACTTTGCATATCAAAAACGTCTATAAGATAGATTGCACAGCAAACATATCTGCTCTCACCTCTCACCCCATTACTCAATTTATTTTTCTTTTTTCAGCAAAACATTTATTAGCATATTTTATATATACATAATGATAACATTCATCATACAGAGTTTGTGCACATTCATGATATATCTCGCTTACTCATTGGAACTCACGAGAAGGTGCCACATTAGCTAATGTCATAAGTTTGGACAATGTGAACATTTTAACCAAGATGACTGACCTGCTGTCAAAAATGAACTTGCAACTTTTTCCTTTATTTATCCAAATAACTGTTACTGAGTGTTTTACATGGGACACACACTCCACGAAGAGTTTGACAAGTGTCATCTCAGTGAATCCTCACAATGACCCTGTGATGCCCTCACTATTCCCCTCCCACACACTGCTTACCTTGGGCACAGAAAGGACCATGTGTGTGCTTGTAGAGCTGGTGGAGTTGGAGCTGGGAGAAGCTAAGTTCACATCAGGTCTCTGAAGCTTATCAGAGCCTGGATATGGGTCAAGAATGTCAGTCTCCCAGGTCTCCGGAAACCACTGAGTAGGTGCAGGGGAGCTGAGCTGAGATTCCCGCCCTCAGTGTCACCCTGAGGAACTCTGCTACAGTACCTTACTTGGCCATGTGAGGCCAGTCAGGGCACAGGCCCTGCTGGGAGCCCAGTGAGCAGTGCCACATGTGCAGTAGAGCAGCGTCTGTCCTGGAGGACACTGAGGACCATCGCCACCTGGAGGACAGCATTTCTGGTCAAGGGGAAGCTCTGTGGAGGCTCAGAAGCAAAAAAGGGAACGGGGCTTATAGGGAACGTTGGAAGCTGGGGGTCCTGCATGGGGAACAGTGTTTGTGCACCCTGTGGGAAAGAGCTTGGATGAGCTCTCTGAGGAGGTTCAGGGCCAGGAGGAGAGCACTGTTGGAGTTTGTGCTAATTGTGTCATGTAAATTTTCCATGTATTGTGCTACTTTACATGCCCAGGTATTCCAAGGCTGGAGTCTGTCCTTCTCAGGGCTACTGATTTGTACACGTAGATCCCCTTGCACCTAGCCAGATACCACTTTTCACAGTCAGTCTAACAAGTCCAAAGCCAGAATCTCCAGTGTCTTACTTCAGCTAAGCCTCACCCTCACCACACCAATGTGTCCCCTGCCTGTATCACCCAGGGCCAGGGACCTGACAGGGAGAGTCACCCCTATGGCCTAGCGCCTTTGGAGAGGAATCAGCATGCCCAACTCAACACCTGCTCCTGTTTACCTACCCTGCCAAGCCCATTCCCTCACACAGAAACCACAGAAAGACTGGGGATTTGGGCCCCTTCTTTTACTAGTCTTGTACGGTGCATTTTCTCTGGGGAAATGTGGGTAATGAAGTTCTTTTCAGGACCATTGTTTCCCTAGCTGTCACTACATTAAAATGTGTCCTGGGTGCATAT